CTGCTGGAGTGCGGGGGGAACCTCCAGCCCCCCGGGGGGTCCCTGCGCCTCCTCTGCCGAGGGTCCGGGTTCAGTTTTGGGAGTTATGGAATGTTCTGGATCCCCCAGAAACCCGGGCAGGGTTTGGAATACGTCGCAGGCATCTACAACACTGGTGGCAGCACCTACTACAATCCGTCGGTCAAGGGCCGGTTCACGATCTCCAGGGACAATGGGCAGAGTTCGGTGACGCTGACCATGAACAACCTCAAGGACGAGGATTCCGCCACCTATTTCTGTGCCAAGAGTTCCGGTGCTGGTTGGGCTGAAAGTGCTCATCGTATTGACGATGGCCTTGCTGTCCCCATCCCCATCCCCGTGTCCCCCCCGTCCCCGTTGCCCAGACCCTTCCACCAAACCCCCAGCCCACACCCAGCCCTTGACCATTGATCCCAACCTTGCTCTGCCCGGGCCCAGTTCTCACCCGCTGACCCCAAAGCACAACTCCAGACCCCAAATCTGCTCTTTGTGCCCCAAAACCTTGTTATAAAAGTGGATACTTCAAGCCAAGGGTTAAATTTTGAGTCAAATTTGTGGCAATGTGCAGAGAGCAGATTTCAGGCCGAACCACTCCAAGACTGGGACATGGGGACAGGAATGGGGTCCAGGCTTGGGGTTTTGGGGGAGGGTCCAGAGAATGGAGATAGGTGGGGACCGGGGAAAAGGAACACAGCCAAATGCAACCGAAACATGAGAGTGACCAATACCTGCAGCAGCACCCCAACCAGCAGTACCAACAACACTTCTGCCACAGAAATAGGATCCGGAATCCTCGTCCTTGAGGTTGTTCATGGTCAGCGTCACCAAGCTCTGCCCGTTGTCCCTGGACATCCTGAACCGACCCTTGAGCAATGGCGCATAGTAGGCGCTGCCACTGCTGTGGATACTCGCGACCCATTCCAGCCCCTGCCCGGGTCTCTGGCGGACCCAGCTCATTCCAAAACTCCCAAAACTGAACCCGGACCCTCGGCAGAGGAGGCGCAGGGACCCCCTGGGGGGCTGGAGGTTCCACCCGGACCCCAGCAGGGTCACGGCTGCCCTGAGCCCTGCGGGACAGAAGGGAGATTGGCACGGGTCCCGGCTGTGCCATTCTCGTTTCCTACACAGAGTCAGAAACCATCCTCTCTTTCCCTCTCTCTCCCTCTCTCTCTCTGTCTCTCTCTTTCTCACACATTTTTTTTCCTGGAGCAGCACAAAGAGAAGATGAAGATGAAACAATTCCCATCTCTCCTCGCTGCTCTTGCTGTTTCTGCAGGTGTGGAATGTGTCAGGGGGATTATTCCCCTCCAGGGATTTACCAGTTGGGTTCTGCTGCAGATTGTTTTGTTTCCTTGGCCAATGGGCTCCAAGCCGTGACCTGGCTCTGTCAGTCACTCGCGGGGTTTCTTCAGGACATTTTAGGGTCTTTTGTACGGAATTCTTTTAGTATCTCTTTAGTATAGGTGTAATATAGCATTAATGAGATATAATAGAGAATTAAAGAGATATAATATAGCATTAATGAGATATGATAGAGCAATAATTAGATATAATATAGCATTAATGAGATATAATATAATAAAAATGAGATGTTATATAGAATTAATGAGACATAATATAGTATTAATGAGATGTAATACAGTATTAATGAGATATAGTATAGTATTAATGAGATATAATATAGAATTAATGTGATATAATATAGTATTAGGAGATATAATATACTATTAATGAGATGTAATATAGTAATATTGAGATATAAAGTAGTATTAATGTAATAAAATATAATATTAGTGTAATGTAGTAGAGATTTAATAGAGCAATAGTTCAGCATTCTGAATCATGGAGTCAGATGCTGTGACCCTGCTGGAGTGCGAGGGGGACCTCCAGCTCCCCGGGATGTCCCTGTGCATCCTCTGCCGAGGGTCTGGGTTCAGTTTCAGGAGTTTCTCCATGCTCTGGCTGGGTCAGAAACCCGGGCAGGTGCGGGAATATGTTGCAGTGATCTGGAGCAGTAGTTCCTACACGGCGTACGCGCCATCGGTGCAGAGCCGGTTCAGGATCTCCAGGGACAATGGGAAGAGCTCGGTGACGCTGACCATGAACAACCTCAAGGACGAGGATTCCGGATCCTATTTCTGCTCCAAATCTGACTATGATAATGATTGGAGTGCTGCTGCTTCTGATGAAGACAGCAGTTGTGGATCCACACCAACCTTCAAGTCCCACCTGTCCCCAGACCCAGACTCTTCCCCCACAAACCTCAGCCCTTGACCCTTTGTCCCAAATCTCCCCCATTTGCACCAATGGTCAGCACTGACCCCAAACTCTCCCCTCCTCCTGCCCCAACACTCAACCATTGGCCCCAAACCTTCACCCCTGGCCTCCAGATCAGGCCTCCTCCAATCAGGGCCCAGGAACTGGGAGAGATTTGGGTGAAATGGGAAAAACTGGGATAAAGTCGAAAGCTGGGGCAATGATGGTGGACACTGGGGGAGAAGGTCAAGAATGGGTCAAGGGTTGGAATTTGGGCAAGGATTTTAGGGATTTTGTGACATTTGGGGAGCCAGGGATGGGGGTTTGGGGCCACCACCAGCATTGTCACCATGTCCATAGCTCCCAGAGAGGATTCCAGCCCAGCCCCAAGGAGCAGCCCCAGACACCAAGGCCGCTGAGGGAGATGTGAAGCCCCAGGTGGGAGCGAGGGAGGGAGGGAGGGAGGAGAAGACGCCGCAATTTTGGGGCTCCGCAGCCTCCCCCCACTTCCTCCCTGGCAGCTGCCGGGGCCCGGCCGGGGCAGGAAAGGAAACAGAAAGTTCCTGGTTTTGGTCATTGTGAACATCTGTGTTTGGCAGAGGGCAGCTCAGCCTCGGGGCGCTGCGGCAGAGCGCCGGCTGCAAAAAAGCTTTGTGTGCAAAGGGCCCTGGAGTGATCCCCGTTCCGCACTGGGACAAAGGGGAAGGGCAAGACTGGGGAGAAATGGGGAAAATTGGGGGAATTTGGGAATTGGGGAAGTGGTGGTGGCATTTGAGGGAAATGGTCAAGATTTGAGAAATAGGTGAGGGGATTTTGGGGAAGGATCAGAGAATTTTGAGATATTTGGGGAGAGAGAGGAGAGGGCTTGGGACCACAACCACCATCAACACCATAAGCATAAGCACCATTACCACAACTACTGCTGTAACATCTGGCACAGAAATAGGTGGCAGAATCCTCGTCCTTGAGGTTGTTCATGGTCAGCATCACCAAGCTCTGCCCATTGTCCCTGGAGATCGTGAACCGGCCCTTGACCAATGGCACGTAGTAGGTGCTGGAACCAGTTTTGTAGATTCCAGCGAGCCATTCCAGCCCCTGCCCGGGTCTCTGTCGGATCCAGTATATGTCAAAATTGCTGAAATCTAACCCGGACCCTCGGCAGAGGAGGCGCAGGGACCCCACGGAGGGCTGGAGGTCCCCCCTGCACTCCAGCAGGGTCACGGCCGCTCAGAGCCCTGCGGGACAAAGGGGAGATGGGGATGAGGCCAAAGCTCAACCCTTGACCCAAATCCTGACTCTGGGCCCTAAACTGGGACACTTGGAGTTCATCATCCTCCTCCCAGCTGGGTCCTGCCCCTTCTTCCAGCTGGCCACACCTGCTTTTAGGCCCTTGACCAATCAGGTTTCTCATCCCCATCTCCCCTTTGTCCCGCAGGGCTCCGGGCGGCCGTGACCCTGCTGGAGTTCGGGGTGGAGCTCCAGTCCCCCGGGGGGTCCCTGTGCCTCCTCTGCCGAGGGTCCGGGTTCGATTTTGGCAGTTTTAGGATGGGCTGGCATCAACAGAGACCCGGGCAGACGGTGGAATACATCGCCAGTATCAGCAGCAGTGGTGTCAGCACCTACTACGCAGATCCGGTCAAGGGCCGGTTAAGGATCTCCAGGGACAACGGGCAGAGCTCGGTGACGCTGACCATGAACAACCTCAAGGACGAGGATTCCGCCAACTATTTCTGTGTCAAAGCTTCTGGTGGTGGTGGTGCTCCTGCTGATTATATTGACGGTGCTCGTGCTGTCCCCATCTCCTCGTGTCCCGCTGTACCCATTGCCCAGACCCTTCCCCCAAACCTCCAGCCTGCACCCAGCCCTTGACCATTGATCCCAACCTTGCCCTGCCTCGGCCCCAGTTCTCACCCGCTGACCCCAAACCACAACTCCTGACCCCAAATCTCCTCTTTGTGCCCCAAAACTTGATTCTGAAAGTGGATACTGCTGGTCATGGGTTAAGATTTCAGTCAACTTTGTGGACGAGAGTTGAGAATCTGGGGCAGAGCCAGGGCAGGGTTGGGAGATGGGGTCAGAAATGGCATCAGGGGCAGAGTTTGGGAGAAGGGTCTGGGGAACCGGGAGAGGTGGGACAGAGCCATTGGGATGGGGTCAATACCATCAGCAGCAGCACCCCAAGTACCATAGGCAGCTTTCCCGCAGAAATAGGAACCAGAATCCTCGTCCTTGAGGTTGTTCATGGTCAGCATCACCGAGCTCTGCCCGTTGTCCCTGGAGATCCTGAACTGGCCCTTGGCCAACGGCGCTTAGATGGTGCTGGAACCATCTCTCCTGATCCACGCGATGAATTCCAGCCCCTCCCTGGGTCTCTGGCACATGCAGAATATGGAGAAACTCCCGAAACAGAACCCAGCCCCTCGGCAGAGGAGGCGCAGGGACCCCCGGGGGGCTGGAGGTTCCCCCCACACTCCAGCAAGGTCACGGCCGCCCAGAGCCCTGCGGGACAAAGGAGAGATCGGGATGAGGAGATGAATTGGCTGTGGACCCAAAGTGGGCACCGCCAATTCAGAAGAAGGGTGTGGGATCCACCTGGGATGACTGGCAGGAGTTGCAGGAGGAGGATGGTGAACTTCAAGGGTCCCAGTTTGTAGCCAAGAGTCAGGATTTGGGTCAAGGTTTGAGCTTTGGCCTCATCCCCATCTCCCCTTTGTCCCGCAGGGCTCCGGGCGGCCGTGACCCTGCTGGAGTGCGGGGGGGACCTCCAGCCCCCCGGGGGTTCCCTGCGCCTCCTCTGCCGAGGGTCCGGGTTCAGTTTTGGCAGTTTTGGGATGGGCTGGGTGCGCCAGAGACCCGGGCAGGGGCTGGAATACGTCGCTGGGATCACCAACACTGGTGGTTGGACCGAGTACACGAATTCGTTCAAGGGCCGGTTCAGGATCTCCAGGGACAACGGGCGGAGCTCGGTGATGCTGACCGTGAACAACCTCAAGGACGAGGATTCCGCCACCTATTTCTGTGCCAAATCTGGTCGTACTAATGGCGGTTGGGCTGTTGCTGCTGATCCTTCTGACGCGTCCTCATCCCTGTGTACCCCCCTGCCCCCATTCCGCAGCCCCTTCTCCCAGTCCCCAGCCCCTGGCCCCATTCCTGTCCCCTTGCCCCAACCCTCCCCTGGCTCTGCCCCAAATTTTCAGCTCCTGGCCCCACACCTCAGCCTGGGGCCCATACGGGGCCATTTTGGCTCCTGGGCGGGCCCCGGCCCTTCTGCCAGGATCCCTGGGCTGAACTCGCCCAACTCTGCCCAAATCTGCACTGCTGGCCCAGAGCAGCCACCACTGACACAAATCCCCAATTCTGACCCAAATTGGGACCCTGGACCTCAAACCCCGACATTCAGAGCAAAGTTTTGGGGCAGAAACAGGAGATTTGGGGTCAGGAGTTGTGGTTTGGGGTCATCGGGTGAGAATTGGGTCCGAGGCAGAGCAAGGTTGGGATCAATAGTGAAGGGCTGGGTGTGGGCTGGGGGTTTGGGGCAGGGGGACAGGATGGGACAAAGAGATGGGGATGGCACCGTCACTACGACCGGGATTATCAGCATAACCAGCATCAGATCTGGCACAGAAATAGGATCCGGAATCCTCATCCTTGAGATTGTTCATGGTCAGCGTCACCGAGCTCTGCCCGTTGTCCCTGGAGATCCTGAACCAGCCCTTGACCGATGGCGCGTACCAGGTGCTGCCATCACTGCTGTAGATCCCTGCGATGTATTCCAAACCCTGCCCGGGTCTCTGCCGGACCCAGTACATTCCATAATCACCGAAACTGAACCCGGACCCGCGGCACAGCAACGTCAGGGACCCCCCGGGGGGCTGGAGGTCCCCCGCGCACTCCCGCAGGGTCACGGCGACCCGGAGCCCTGCGGGACAAAGGGGAGATGCGGATGAGAAACCTGATTGGTCGAGGGCCAAAAACTGTGAGGGTCAAGCTTGATAAAGGATTGGGACCCACCTGGGAGGAGGATGATGAACTCCACGGGTCCCAATTTGTGGCCAAGGGTCAGGATTTGGGTCAAGGTTTGAGCTTTGGACTCATCCCCATCTCCCGTTTGTCCCGCAGGGCTCCGGGCGACTGTGACCCTTCTGGAGTGTGGGAGGGTCCTCCAGCCCCCCGGGGAGTCCCTGAGCCTGCTTTGCCGAGGGTCCGGGTTCAGTTTTGGCAGTTTTACCATGTTCTGCATCCGCCAGAGACCCGGGCAGGGGCTGGAATGGGTTGGAAGTATCAGCAGTGGTGGTGGCACCATCTACTACGCACCATCGGTGCAGGGCCGGTTCACAATCTCCAGGGACAACGGGCCGAGCTCGGTGACGCTGACCATGAACAACCTCAAGGTGGAGGATTCCGGATCCTATTTCTGTGCCAGGGCTGCTTGTGGTTATGGTGCTGCTGCTAATGGTGGCAATGCCCCTGATGGTCTCAAGATCCTGCCTTTCATCCCACTCCCATCATTGAGTCTCCAGAGTTCTGCTTTTCATCCCAAACCTCACCCACTGACCCAGCCCTTTACCCTTTGTCCCCATTTGCCCCAATGGTCAGCACTGACCCCAAACCCTCCCCTGCTCCTGCCCCAAAACTCAACCATTGGCCCCAAACCTTCACCCCTGGCTCCAGTTCAGGCCTCCTCCAAAGAGGGCCTGGGAGCTGGGGGAGATTTAGGTGAAATGGGAAAAATTGGGAGAAATCCGGAAGTTGGGGCAACAGGGGCAGACTTTAGGGTAAAATGACTGAGATTTGATGGAAAGGGCTGATTGTGAGGAGATCAGAGGACTATGGGATATTTGGGAACAAAGTGGAGGGATTTGGGAACAAGACCAGAACCAGCAATAAATGCAAGACCAACAGTACCATGACTATTTGCACAACCACCATCAACGCATTTGGCACAGAAATAGGATCCGGAATCCTCGTCCTTGAGGTTGGTCATGGTCAGCATCACCGAGCTCTGCCCGTTGTCCCTGGAGATCGTGAACCGGCCGTTGACCGATGGCGCGTAGGCGATGCTGCAACTGTTGTCCTTGATCCCTGCGACGAATTCCAGCCCCTGCCTGGATCTCTGTCGCACCCAGAACATGCAGAAACTCCCAAAACTGAACCCGGATCCTCGGCACAGCAACGTCAGGGAGCCCCCGGGGGGCTGGAGGTCCCCCCCGCACTCCAGCACGGTCACAGCCGCCTGCAGCCCTGTGGGACAAAGGGGAGATGGGGATGATGAGACCCATTGGTTGTGCAGTCAAAGTGGGCGCTGCCATTCCAGAAGAAGGGTGTGGGATCCACCTGGGATGACTGGCAAGAGTTGCAGGAGGAGGATGGGGCGGTCCAAGGGTCCCAATTTGGGGTCAACATCAGGATCCGCATGCAGGAATCAACATTTGGGTGGATTCCTTCACTCACCCCCATCTCCCCTTTGTCCCGCAGGGCTCCGGGCAGCCATGACCCTGCTGGAGTGCGGGGAGGACCTCCAGCCCCCCGGGGGGTCCCTGCGCCTCCTCTGCCGAGGGTCCGGGTTCTATTTCATCAGTTTTGGGATGGCCTGGATCCGCCAGAGACCGGGACAGGGTTTGGAGTTTGTGGCGAGTGTCACCAGTGATGGCGGCACTCCCAGATACGCGCCGTCATTCAAGGGCCGGTTCACGATCTCCAGGGACAACGGGCAGAGCTCGGTGACGCTGACCATGAAAAACCTCAAGGACGAGGATTCCACCGTTTATTTCTGTATCAAACTTTGCAATGGTTACGCTGGCAATGCTATTGACGCCGGTTTCGGCATCAATCCTGGCAGTGACCATGATGGTCATCAAGTTTTCCAATCCCAGAGATACGTCGTCCAAATCCCAGCCCTTCTCCTCAAATCTTCACCATTTTCCCCCAAAGTCTGCCCCTGCAGACCAAACTCTCCATTTCCCCACAATTTTCCCCATTCCACCCCAATCTCGCCCAGTTGCCTCCGTCCGAGTGTGGAGTAGGGATCGCTCCATGGCCCTTTGCACACAAAGCTTTTTGTGCCGCTGGAACTCTGCCGCAGAGCCCACAGGCTGAGCTGCCCTCTGCCAAACACAGATGTTCACAATGACCAAAACCAGGAACTTTCTGTTTCCTTTCCTGCCCCGGCCGGGCCCCGGCAGCTGCCGGGCAGGAAGAGGGGGGAGGCTGCAGAGCCCCAAAATCGCGGCGTCTGCTCCTCCCTCCCTCCCACCCACGCTCCCACCTGGGGCTTCACTTCTCCCTCAGCGGCCGCGGAGTCTGGAGCTGCTCCTTGGGGCTGGGCTGGAATCCTCTCTGCGAGCTATGGAGAAAAAACCCTTTTATTTTTCCCGAAACTCATGAAAGTTAGAGGAGATGAAATTGTTGAAATTGATCTCGAACCATGGGCACCATGCTGAGAGAAGCAGAGGGGTGCAAGGGTGGAGTCACCTGGAACGTTCCATCGGTCAAGGGCAGGGTCAGAATGGCCAAGGAGAGCTCAGGAGCCAAAATGGCCCCGAGTGGGCCCCGAGCTGAGGTGTGGGGCCAGGAGCTGAGAATGCGGGGCAGAGCCAGGGCAGGGTTGGGGCACGGGGACAGGAATGGGGTCAGGGCCTGGGGATTGGGGAAGGGTCTGGGGAACGGGGACAAGGGGGGAAAGGATGAAGGGGACGGGGTCAAAAGCATCAGCACGAGCAACATTTCCAGTAACAGTGGTTTTGGCACAGAAATAGGTGGCGGAATCCTCGTGCTTGAGGCTGTTCATGGTCAGCGTCACCGAGCTCTGCCCGTTGTCCGTGGAGATCGTGACCCGGCCCTTGACCGATGGTGCGTAGTAGGTGCTGCCACCACTGTTGATGCTTCCAACCCACTCCAGTCCCTGTCCAGGTCTCTGTCGAACCCAATCCATTTCGAAACTGTCAAAACTGAACCCGGACCCTCGGCATAGGAGGAACAGGGAACCCCCGGGGGGCTGGAGGTCTCCCCCGCACTCCAGCAGGGTCACGGCCACCCGAGGCCTTGTGGGACAAAGGGGAGATGGGGATGAGGCCAAAGCTCAACCCTTGACCCAAATCCTGACTCTGGGCCCCAAATTGGGACCTTTGGAGTTCATCATCCTCCTCCCAAGGGGGTCCTGCCCCTTTTTACAGCTGGCCTTGCCCACTTTGAGGCCCTCGACTAATCAGGTTCCTCATCCCCATCTCCCCTTTGTCTCGCAGGGCTCCGGGCGGCCGTGACCCTGCTGGAGTGCGGGGGGGAACTCCAGCCCCCCGGGGGTTCCCTGCGCCTCCTCTGCCGAGGGTCCGGGTTTGATTTTGGAAGCGACATGTTCTGGGTGAGCCAGAGACCTGGGCAGGGGCTGGAGTGGCTCGCGAGTATCAGCTACAATGGTGTTTTGACCGGGTACGTGGATTCGGTCAAGGGCCTTTTCAGGATCTCCAGGGACAACGGGCAGAGCTCGGTGACGCTGACCATGAACAACTTCACGGTCGAGGTTTCCGGATCCTATTTCTATGCCAAGTGTGTTGATGATCGTGCTGGTTGGGAGAATGTAGCCTGTCGTTCTGACCTCATCCCCATGGCTGTTTCCCCCATGTCCCCGTTCCCCAGACCCTTCCCCAATCCCCAGCCCCTGACCCCATTCCTGTCCCCGTGTCCCAGCTCTGAACTGGCTCTGCCCCAATCTCAGCTCTTGACCCCAAACCTCGGCTCTTGGCTCCACGTCCCAACCAAATTCCCCAAAACTGACGAGGACTGGCCAGATCCTGGCCCACCGTGTCAATCTGCCTTTGCTTTGTGTGATTGGCCACACACCTCTCGCGCTGAGCGGCGCCATCGAGTTCTGTGTGTACTGCCGGGGCCGTGAGCCACCGGCACCTCCCCATGGCCACAGCCCGGTGAGGAGAGCGATGGTGGGAAACACAACGGCTCCCGAAGGGTCCCCACAGCGCCGTCCCGGTGGGGATTGGGACAGAGACTCCCGGGCGGGGATAAATCCCTCTGGGGCAGCCCCAAATCCGCACGCCTGGCACCAAACCCGCGCTGGGGGCACCGAATCCGGAGGGTTTGGCACAAAAATTGGCACCAAGGGTGAAGGGGTGATGCCGAGAGTTGGGAATCTGGGGGAAAATGGCGGAGATTTGGGACAGAGCCAGTTCAGGGCTGAGACACGGGGCAGGAATTGGGTCAGGGGCAGGGGACTAGGGGAAGGGTCTGGGCTTTGGAGATGTGGCTAAAACGATACCACCAGCATAGGCATTATTATCAGCAGACTTCCCGCAGAAATAGACGGCGGAATCCTCGTCCTTGAGGTTGTTCGTGGTCAGCGTCACCGAGCTCTGCCCATTGTCCCTGGAGATCGTGAACCGGCCCTTGACTGAATCCGCGTAGGCAGTTCTGCCACCATTGCTGCTGATACTCGCGATGTATTCCAGCGTCTGCCCGGGTCCCTGCCGCACCCAGTACATCCCAAATTGTCCAAAACTGAACCCGGACCCTCGGCAGAGGAGGCGCAGGGACCCCCCGGGGGCTGGAGGTCTGCCCCGCACTCCAGCAGGGTCACGGCTGCCCGGAGCCCTGCGGGACAAAGGGGAGATGGGGATGAGGCCAAAGCTCAACCCTTGACCCAAATCCTTACCCTTGGCCCAAAATTGGGACCCTTGGAGTTTATGATCCTCCTGCCAGGTGGGTCCTGTACCTTTTTCCAGCTGGCCACACCCACATTAAGGCTCTCGACCAATAAGATTTCTCATCCCCATCTCCCCTTTGTCCCGCAGGGCTCCGGGAGGCCGTGACCCTGCCAGAGTGCGGGGGGGACCTCCAGCCCCCCGGGGGGTCCCTGCGCCTCCTCTGCCGACGGTCCGGGTTCAGTTTCGGGGGTCACTCCATGCAATGGATCCGCCAGAGCACCGGGCAGGGGCTGGAATGGCTCGCGGGGATCCACAGCTCTGGGGGTTACACCCACTACGCCCCGTGGGTCAAGGGCCGGGTCAGGATCTCCAGGGACAACGGGCAGATCTTCACAGCACTGACCATGATCGACCTGCAGCACGAGGATTCCGGATCCTGTTTCTGTGCCAAAGCCGCTGGGGCTGATGGAGATGACCATGATGCCAGTGCTATTGACTCCACCCCCATCGTTGTGTCCCCAAATGTCCCCGAATCGCAGACCCTTCCCCCAAATCCCAGCCCTCGTACCCGCTCTCGGTGACTGAATTCGTGTCCCCAGCCACAGGCCTAGCGGTGACCTTTGGGCCGAGTTTGGGGAAAGATCATATGCCAAGGGTTGGGGTTTGGAGCCGGAGAGGGGAAAGGGACATGGAGAAATGGTCACGGGCTGGGTCAGGGGGTGGGAGCTGGGCAAGGGTCTGGGGAACGGGGACAGCTGGGGGTGCAGTGATGATGGTGAGACCAGGATTTCGCAGGTCCCCATCAGCAACAGCAACAGGAGCACCAGTATCAGCAGATTTCCCACAGAAATAGATGGCGGAATCCTCATCCTTGAGGTTGTTCATGGTCAGCGTCACCGAGCTCTGCCCGTTGTCCCTGGAGATCGTGAACCGGCCGTTGACTGACGGCGCATAGCCGGTGCTGCCACCAGTGTTGATCTCTGTGACGTACTCCAGTGAATTCCTTGGTGTCTGCCCATCCCAAAACTGCCGAAACTGACCCCGGACCCTCGGCAGAGGAGGCGCAGGGACCCCCCGGGGGGCTGGAGGTCCCCCCCCGCACTCCAGCAGGGTCACGGCCACCCAGGGCCTTGTGGGACAAAGGGGAGATGGGGATGAGGCCAAAGCTCAACACTTGACCCAAGTCCTCAATCTTGGCCACAAATCAGGACTCTTGGAGTTTATCATCCTCCACCCATGTGAGTCCTGCCCCATTTTTGAAGCATGCCGCGCGAAGTCGGGAACTCTTCACCAATCAGGTTTCTCATCCCCATCTCCCCTTTGTCCCGCAGGGCTCCCGGTGGCCGTGACCCTGCTGGAGTGCGGGGGGGACCTCCAGCCCCCCGGGGGTTCCCTGCGCCTCCTCTGCCGAGGGTCCGGGTTCAGTTTCGGGAGTTTCTCCATATTCTGCATGTGCCAGAGACCCGGGCAGGCTTTGGAATACGTCACAAGCATCTACTATATTGGTGCCAACACCTACTACGCGCCATCGGTCAAGGGCCTGGTCAGGATCCCCAGGGACAACAGGCAGAGCTCGGTGACGCTGAGCATGAACAACCTCAAGGACGACGATTCCGCTGTTTATTTCTGTGCCAAATATTACACCAGTGGTTGTGGTGGTGGTGCTGCTGCTCATGGTGTTGGTGGTTCTGG